TTTCAGTACAAATCGGCAATTTCATACTTTAACCCCTATTATTTACACAATAACAGCTCAGTATAGAGTACTAAAAAAACCGACCTCGTAAGTTTATTTGCCAAGTTTTTTTAAGTATTCAAATTTTTTTAAAAACAAGTAAAATAAAGTACTTAACTATCTTATTCTAATATTTTTCTACTATACTAATATTACGACTAAGTACTTGTAATCAACAAAAACTTGAACAAAAAATATTCTATTTAGAATCGATTAATTGAATGGAATACTTGTGTTTACGCGTATTCCGTTCAATCATTCGATTTGGAGCGAGCGGAAGGAGGTTTCCATCACCAAATAATTCTTGTGACGTCATAGCGGGTACAAAAAATCTACCAAAAGTCTATCTAGATATATACATATGTCTGTGGTTACCGGGTAACATATATACAAAAAAAATAGTTTTAAACTTTTGTTTTATAATTAACACCATTATCTTATGGCCTGAAATAAAATGACATTATTATTATTAAAACTAGGGAACTCATCAAAATCAGCAATTAAGGACGTTATTAATAACTAGTACAGTATTTTAGTCGCAGTAGAGCTCCCTGTAAAAGTGTTCGTCCGGGAAATACTGCCACCTTACTCATTTCTGCCGTCAAGCGGTTATGTGAGCATTACTATATTCCTACTTTGAACGGTAATACCAAGCGACGGGACGAATAAATAAATAAATAAGCGACAAACACACCTGTCCATAGCAATTGCAGAGCCTTGAGTGGCTTTAAATCACAAAAATCTAAGGGGCACTGCCACTATGCCCTCAGCCTAAGACATAAGTTGACAAGTCCCATGTGCCTCGCAGTAATGCGCACGTTACTGTAAAGTGGCAGTACTTCCCTGGACGAACTCGTTGACAAGCAGCTCTACTGTTACTAGATCTTCCACTGCCTTTCTGTCCTTATAAGACTACATAAAAATTGTCTAATTTTTGTTAAATACTTTTAAGTACGTCCTTACTATTGATCAATTGACTCTATTTTTAAACCCATTTAATTCTCAAATTGTAAATATTACGTCATTTCAAAGGCGTAATGGTGTAAACTGTAACATCCTTCTTATTATTTTTGCAGGCAGGTGAAGCGGCGGGCCATATCAACCATAATACAATAAATACAGTAGAGTCACTGTATGGCGGAACTCATCCTCGGGTATTTATTGGTAGCAAATACAATTTACAGAAAACCAATATAAATCATAATACTACCCCCACTGAATGCTTGCTTGTCAGCACAGAATTGAGCTGCAAGCATGCAGCACGCGTACAACACACATGCTGCGCGTTCGCGGCGCAGATCCGTACGCACCCTAACATTTTATTATTAAAGGAAAGTGGGTGAGATACAATAAACAGGATTCGTCCTCGGCAATTCAAATAGCAACGTATCTTGGACATTAGAAAATAGTGCTGTACGACAGGTTTCAATAAACATGTACTATGTTCCATACCCATTTGCCCTTTTCTGTTTACGACATATTACTTATTTGATTTAAATTACCTACCTTCTATGTATTACAATAAGACGTTCAAATTCCAATGGTTTACAATTCAAATGTATTTTTACAGTATTTTCAAAGAATAATTGATGACAACACCAATTCTACTGACATAATACCGATTAACGGACCATTGAACGAAGTTCTACAAGGTGATGATGAGTATACTTTAGGCGGAGAAGTTGGTGAAGAATTTACGAATCCTTTAGACAGTATGTCTCAAGCCAGTATGCTCAGAAATTCATGCTGGGATCCGAACACAGGTTTAGGCTACGCCAGGAAGTGCAAGCAAGCTTGTAGAACCACTTATTCAACTGTTTGCTCACAAAGAAGATGCCCCAATGGTGTCTATAATAGAGCTTATGCATTTTGTAGGATAACTTGCAGATTAAAGTTTTGTGTATAAAGGATTTGGTGTTTTGATGCGTTTTTGTTTTTTATTACCCGAAACACATCCAACGTCCCCACTCTAATACCAGCTATGGTACTAGCGTTTAAACAATGTGGTCAATACAGCTTTCGTCAAATGTGGCGATCCTCTGAGCATTGAGCCAGTTCAGGTGGGGTAGAACCTTTGGTGCGAAAGATTACAATCTACCTTTGTCCCGCTTTCTGAGAGTCTCCCACCTGGACACGAAATGCCATGACCGATCTGGAAGTCGTTAAAAAGGCTTCGCACACAGGTTGGTCAGAGTAAGACCAATTTGTTCAGGTGGGGAATTTCGGATGGTTCTCACCTAGATGATTCAAACGCCTTAATTCTCTATGATGATTCCTGGGAATTCCGTGTTAGACTTTGCGCAAGTGGGTTTCAATTCCGTTTCCAAATGGCTTTCTCACAACCTCGTCACCCTCAACATGGGAAAAACTATGTATCTCACGTTTTCACTCACAAGTCGTGGTTAATCATCCTCCTCTGCATTCTCTATAACTGCACATTCGTGTCCATCTTTTTCACATGATTCCTGCTCCTGTCCGTCTTTAGTCCGTACACACTGTGTGAAGTATCTGGGTGTCCAGCTGGATAACACACTTTCCTTTCGCTATCATATTGATGGTCTGACCCTGAGATTACGCAAATTGATTTTCATTTTTAAACGTCTTCGCCACGTAGCAGATGTGAAAGTTTTAAGAATTGTGTATTTAGCACTGTGCCAGTCCCTCACATCCTATTGCATCTCTGTTTGGGGTGGCTCCGCCAATCGGCATCTACTTAAGCTGGAATGCACTCAACGTGCGATACTCAAGGTGGGTTGGTCAGATACCCGACCTATGACCTTTATAAAACCTGTGAGGTCCTCTCATTACGACAGCTTTTTATTCTTCAAATAGCTTTGATCACGCATACTCATATCCTATCCTAACATATACATATTAAGATTAATCACTTTCTAAGTTTAAAACTTGCATCAAAAGTATTTTAATTCAAAAGTCATATTACAAAATTGAAGAGCATTTGTTAGATCTTTCCGTATGAAAGACGACATGAGTCTTGATTCCATACAATTATGATTCAAAGTGTATTTAAGTTTATTTGAAAGGAGCAATCCTTAATTTCTTGCTCGTTCTTCTCAGGGAGGTCAGCGTAGTGAACGAGCATCAGCTTAAAAAATGACGTTTTCAAGTGTAAAAATTTTACCTATGGAATAAATAATTGTTTGACTTTGACTTGAGTTAAAACACAATATAGAAACTTAAGTATAATAGTAAAATATGCGCAACAGGCAGCTTTATTGCTTTGTAGCAATTTCTTTCAGGCAACCTTAGGATAGAATTTAAGATTTGCAAAAAGGGTGCAACCAAAGAATATCATCATGAGTACAGTAAATGATAAGTAGTAATAAAAATATATAAATGGATAGACGTATACATACAATTTTTTTAAATAAATTAATAATAATATTAAATACTTATTAAATATACGATATATAAGAAAAAAAATTAAATATGAACATGGGAAATAAATGAAAGGTTAGTGCAGTGAAGACGAAACTTAGGAGATGAGGAAGTGATCCTTGACACGTTGTTGAACGAATCAAGAGAAGGCGATCGTCGAACAGATTCAGGGAGAGAATTCCACAGTCTGATCGCAGAAACGGTAAAAGTTGGAATAAAAGTTAGAGATATGAGAGGGGATGTTTAATATCATAATATCAGAGTGTAGAAGAGTGGAAAGTAAAGCGATCTTTAAGATAAAAACGCGTAAAGGGATAGAATAGAATGGATAATATGAATTCTCATGGATAGCCATTTAAGTTGTGCGCGAAATTGGGAGACATGGTCAAATTTACATAGTCTGAAGATGAACCTTACACATATATTTTGGAGCCGTTCCAATTTATTGAGCAGGATAACTGACAAATCAGGGTAGCAAACATCAACATAGTCCAGTATCGGATGGAGAATGCTCTGGGCCAAAGTAATTTTAGTTTTAGTCGGCAAAAAGTGTTTAAACCTTCTCAGAGAAAAATGTGCACCAAACACCTTTTTGCTAACCCTAAACCCAAATTTGTATTACAATTAATCACATTATTTTTTCATTTCAAATTCTCAATAATCAACCTCTCCTGCACGTGGTATACCCTGCTCCTATCGACGAGGCTCTGGTGACCCGCCAACATGCAATGGATCAGCGTGACGAGCAAATGGTGTAACCCCCCAAATGATTACCACAGAAAATTATTCTCAAATTCCCAGTGGCGCTAGTAGCAACCACGGCGCTGACGGATGTCGTGGAAGCTCCTAGCACCAGGGGTTCTAATCTCCGGGTGGGATTCGACTGTCGAACGACTATAGGCCCTGACAACTTGCTCGAAGATGTGGTCACTTACTATGAATAGGCCTCATAAGAAGCTCAAAGTCGCTCAACGCGCTATGGTGCGAGCAATGCCCGGTATTTCTCTACGTGATCGAGTCAGAAATGAGGAGATCTGTAGAGAACGAAAGTCACCGACGTAATTCAAAGGATTAGCTAGTTGAAGTGGCAGTGGGCACATTACTCGTAGAACTGACGGCCGTTGGGGCAGAACGGTTCATGAATGGAGACCACGAACCGGAAGGCGTTCAGTGGGAAGACCCCTACTAGATGGACTGATGACCTGGTGAGGGCGGCGGGTAACCGATAGATGCACGTCGCTTTCGACCGACTAGTCTGGCAATCTTTTTATGTTCAGCAGTGGACGGCTTCCGGCTGATATAATGATGAAATAAAAAAATATAGAAATTATATATAGCTATACGTTTCAAACGATGGCCCATCTCATATCGTGTATTGAGTGCCCTAACACCTGAACGCTTGAGGATTTAATGGCTGATAGAGCCGCGGTCTGCGACGTAGCTGACTTCTGGTCCACAATAGTATATGCTATCGATACAATAAGAAGAAGAAGTACAGCCAATGGCATATCAACCTTGACACTTCGTTCTTATATCTTATCTAATCTTACCTTGATGTGCTCTTAACTCTGCGCCATAGTAACCATATAGTAATTAACTGCCATTTGATGATTTACAACGTGGTTGCGTTTAAAGTAAAATATTTTTCCATTTCTCAATTCAGATGACTAATTTCTAACTTGCTAAAAACTTTACTCAAAGTAAAAAGAACTTAAGGTGTATCGTGTTGGTTAAAATTTACGCCACTTAAAAATAACTGGTGTATCGCTTTTGCTAAAATTCACTAGGGACAAACACGGTACCTCCCACGTAAATTGTTGTAAATCTAAATACCATTTTTGCTTTTTAACCTAATTTTATCTTTTTTTATGCATATAATATAGGTTCCATGTTTAAAAGTTAAAAAATCATTTTGTTATGTTTACTTTCAAACATGGAACCTATAATATACAAAAAAAATTAAGTTAGAAAGCAAAAAGTTGTATTTTGACTTACGTCTGTGTATCGACGGACTTAAGGTGTATCGTTTTTGCTAAAATGTACTCGAGACAAAAAGGACTTGAGGTGTATCGCTTTGGCTAAAATTTACCTCAGATAAAAAGAACATGCATGCACGCCGCCCACGTGGTCTGCTATTTCAGAAAAGTCGTTTGTGGTATGGCGCTGGGAGTGTTAATGTGCTTCTATCTGCACGTTGCTGTTGCGTAAGGTTGACGTAATTACATTTATAGATTTAATTAAGGAACGTTTGTCATTCATTCATAACCTAATTCATTTATGGGCCTTTTACAGAACTCACAATATTTAAAAAAAATATATAATAAATATATTCCTTTCATGGCGTAGGTGCCGTATAAAATGATTAGGCATTCTATAAAATGTCCCAATTTTCGGTCACTTGGTCATTTTGTCAGTATATTTAACTTTGACCGTTTTGGTTTCATACTCAGCGTAAATCGTTTAATATAATAATATCAGTCTTGTTATTTTTAATGAGGCAATTAATCCATCATGTTATATCCATGTTTAACTTAGTTTTCCAGATTTGCAGGAAAGCGTGTTAAATAATTTTACACGTTTAATTAATTTGAATTTATTAATCATTTTTATTCTGCGTTTAATAAAATGAGTTTATTTGTTGGTTTTAATTTCTTTTTAATGAGTACTATAGCAATTGTTATGACGACATCGGTAAGTTTTTTTATAATGCGAAGTGACGGGACGAACGAGTTGTGCGTCTGGTCAAGCAACCCTCCTGTCCATAGCAGCTCCAGTGCCAGTCAAAGCTTTAATAAAAAAAAATCTGAGGTACCTACATTGTCATCGTGACACAAAAAGGCGGTCTCTCACCGGGAGCATTCGCCTATAATGTAACAAACAAGATTCGATTTTGATCATTACGTTACAATACTACCTTACTGACTGACGAGCATTCGCCTGTAATGTAACAATTCAAGATTCGATTTTGAGCATTACGTTATGATGTTGCCTCACTCACTGACGAGCATTCGCCTGTAATGCAACATACAAGATTCGACTTTGAGCAATACGTTACAATACTACCTTACTGACTGACGAACATTCGCCTGTAATGTAACAATTCAAGATTCGATTTTGAGCATTACGTTACAATATTGCCTCACTTACTCACTAACATTCGCCTGTAGACGAATCAGTTGTTTTTACAATGTCAGACGAAACTGTCGTGGTTCTGAGCGCGGCAATATTAATTCAACTATGTTATTTACGTCAAAAAAAGCAAAAGAAGCGATATAGGCCTCACAACCTATTTCATGCTCGGCGTGATATAGGCGGATTGGATATATTAGAAAGAATCAACCGACGCATAAGTAAACAAAAATTATTTGTAAGAATGTCTTCATCGGATATTGAGCATTTAATAAATCTAATTGGACCATATGTTAAAAACAAGATATCAACTATAGAAAACTCACTCACTTGTAAATGTTACAAGTTGTATCATTACAGGTTGCGGACTGCAACGCTCGGTTCTCCTCACTCACTGATGTAATGCTCGAATCTGAACTGTTACATTACAAACAAATGCTCCTGGTGAGGGACCGCCTTAAGTTGACAAATCCCGTGCGCCTGTAATTTCAACAGCACCCTCATTACCCTCCAAAATAGGAACGCAGTAATGCGCACATTACGACCAAATCAGGATTGCGAACTCGGGAGGAGAAATCAATGGATCACCTGCTTAAATTATACAACTTTTTTTCCCAGTACTTGGAGCCAACCATGGATTCTATATCTATGGAGCCAACAGACCTCCTTGACTTGCAAGATATGAATCAACTTAGAGTAAAAACGCAGGATTTGGACGTAAGTGATAAACTATACAGAGTATTCCATAACCGACAAAAATTTAGAGGTAAAATTTTTTTATCGTGTTGATGGCTATGGCTATATTTTCATACTTATAAAGGCTGATGCATGTGACACCGTCCCGGGGCCGGCCTTCACAATTCCACCGTGTGCCGGCCGGGTTTTTTTTTTTGTTATTTTTCTCTTGAGTGATGATAAGGTATAATTATTAATGCAATTTTCACAACTTGAGTTGCCAGCTATTGCAATAGATCTTGATCACGAAGTATTGGAAACACAAATTGAAACTAGAAAAAGAAGATAGTGTGTACATCCTGTCTGGAGAAAAAGAGAATCCGAAAGAGAATTCGCCACGTTCTGCAAAGATTTATTAGATTACGAGAGCATTTTGCGCTTGCACTGTCAACTACACGTTGACTAATGCCCGTCAAATGAATTCATATTACGGCGTGTCGCGATCGGGCCGGGATGGAAGCGGGAAAAAACACTCGACGCCATGCCCCGACCGTGCCTCGGTCGTGACACCGACTCCGCCCGGTCTAACCTAATATTCATTCAAAGGCATATATAGAATATTTGACCGTGTCACGGCCGGCGCACGACCGGAGCACGGGCTGGCCCCGGCACGGTGTAACATAAATCAGCCTTTAATGTTGTGGAAACTAAAGTGTAATCGTTAAGTGCATCCAGGCAATTATTCCGTAAATATAACAGATATCAAAAACCTTTTCATCACACTTGCTCGTAAACAGTACCATAACATGCAGGCAAAGTCGATCGTAATGTTCTAAATTATGCGCATAGGCCTTTTATTACATTATCGCCAAATAAGTTTTTAGGTTCGAAAAATCTGAACGTATATTTGAAAGAAGAAGAAGAAAGAAAAAACCTTATAACTAATTACAATCTAGCCATTTTACAAGACTAATAAACAATTTTAATTTAACATAATTTCCTAACATACAAGTAACTTATATAAAGAAATGGTCCATTGACAAAATATCTTTTAATATATACGGCATAGTTTTTTATCACTTTATCAACGGGCTCTATATCCAAATCGCGATGCAGATCATCGTTTCGTATATACCAAGGAGCACCCACAATATTTGATTTTGGAACCGTTGTATTATCTGTATGTTGCTTTTAGCGGCACGCCCCCTACGCTAGATACCGTAAGTCCACACTGGTATAAGGACCTGTTTATACAATAATTTATTTACTGCACTCAGATAGCGTAGAGCATTAGCCGCATAGCCAATACTTTTTCTTGAAACGTATGCCATTCTTCTTTTTTGTTCTTGATGTGAGCTTTCTAGGGTAGCTTCACGTTGAGGGTCATACCAAGATATTTGGCGTTGTTTGTTTCCAATGTACAGTGCACAGTAGTCTTTTTTTTTATAACTGAAGTCACTGTGCACTGATTTGGTTTCATGTAGTTTTATTCGCCACTTCTAGATCCGCTCATGGAATTGATGAGTGGCTTTTTGAACGTTACTGACCTCTTCCTTGTGGTTATTTCGTACAGCCATAATTGCTGTGTCACCCGCTAAAGTAGTAACAGTATTGTCATCTGGTATATCGCTTGTATATAAAAAATAGAGAATTGGACACAAGACACTTCTTTGTGGCACTCCAGCATTTATTTCTTTTATAGTTCTGAATATGCGTCTTCTTGTCGGATTCTGAAGTACCTACCGCTTAAATAGAACTCCAGGAGGTTTGTGTATTGGTACGAAAGAATATTTCTTAGTTTATATATTAGGCCTTCGTGCCAAACTTTATCAAAAGCTTGAGCAACATCTAAAAAGATTGGGGAACATTCTTTTCCTCCATTGCCTGTTCTATGGTATTGGCTATTCTGTGCACTGGATCAATAGTGAAGTGGCTTTCTCAAAAACCAAATTAGTGATCTGGTATAAGTTTATTTTCATATAGTATTGGTATCACCCTCTTGAGGAGAAGGTTTTCAAATAACTTTAACATCATTGGTAATAGTGAGATAAGCCTGTAAGACGTGACACCATGAGGCGGTTTACCTGGATCATTATTTCTCAATTTAGGAACGATCTTTTGCGATTTAAAGCTATGATTGGCACTGCAACTGTTATGGACAGGCATAGAGCTTACCATAAGGCGCAAGACTTGTTCGTCCCATATTAAAAAAAACTTTTTCGAGGTTGATTATGTAGAATTTCACCAGAAATAAGGTCGTATCCTGGAGATTTGTTTTTATTAATCTTCATTTTTATTTCTCTTTTTATATTTCGGGGGGGGGGGGGGGTTACAAGTTTTATTTTTCCGGCGAACTATTGTAACAAGTTTATTTCTGCTAGATTCAGATCAGTCTGATTTTTTTCACACAACAGTCTGATTTGATTGATTTCGTTGAAATATGTTCTCTAAATGTACAGCAATTTTGAGCATTTGGTATGCGTCTGTGCCTTTTATAACATTTTAGTTCGAGTTGTATTATGGAAGAATAACTGGCAATCTGTTTAAAATAAAGAACAAAAAACCCGCCATTTCCAAAATCGGTAAATGCTGTGTTATGATACGGTATTTATTCATACAAGATAAATTATCGGTGTATCTATTTCCTCGCAAGTGTGATGAAAAACATTGTATGTAACACGGGCGCCAAAAATTCCAAACCTCGAGTCATTAAAGGCCTAGGCCTTCGGCTTCAGGCTTTTAAAAACTCTCGTTAGTAATTTCTTATGTACCTCCCTCAATGCATAATGTACCTTTAAACTGATATCGAAAGTACATTACCTAATGAATAAAACGACATCAATAACATTTTAAAAACAAAACCAGAAATATATATAATAGAATTTTAACGTTAAACGCTCCCATGCATTTAATATGACATTCGTAGAGGCTTTAGGCCCCATTTATTCGACACGAATTTCATCACGCTTAACCGACCGATGAAATTCGTGAGCGCCTGAATAACTGGGCGCTGAGTTAAAATTTGGGCGTAGAACAACAATAAGTTAACAAATAACGAAACTGATATAAATAAAATAATAAAACTATCTTCTACTTAACTGAATAAAAACATAGTGACATATTTTGTGTTTAAGAGTCTATACAGCCGCAAATGGCTTTGGTGGATTCCGCATATACAGTGAAAGCATTGAATCAACCATTTTGGAAAATATATACACAGTAAAATAAAGATATACACTGATTGCCATACGGTGTGAAAACACTATTCTTATAAATTATCCACGGTAGAAAAAAAACACAAACTTGCCTCGAAATTTTACAAGAAAACCGCTGTATTCAATAGGCGCTGTATTCAATATAAAATGATTATTTTTAATATCAACTGAAGTAAATAGAGCACGTATAGTATGCGACACGTTTTTCAAATGGATTTAATTTCGTTTGTAAAAAATACATTCCGAAATAAAACCAGTGACCCTGCTGCTCGGCCCAAGCAAAATGAACCGTATTACATAGAACCGGAAAAATCTGAGTTCGTGCTAAGATAGTAACGACTTTTAATTCAATAAAAGCGCAGCCAATAGACTTAATAGTTGACTCGAAATTAGTAGAGGTGAAGCTGCAGATCCTTGAACACCGCCGTAAAGTCGCTTGCTTATCGGTATTACACAGGATATCACGGAGAGTGTGCGAAAGAATTGCATGAATTAAATCCGCCTTCCCCTTTCGATGGAAGTTTCGAAGGACCAGACGTAGACTGGGGTTACATCCCTATATTGTGGATATTCCAAGGATTCACACGAAGTGCTTCGCTTTCATATTTATATGGTGAAGCTATGAAGTGGAATTCTCTGCCTGCAGACTTGTTTTCTGGTCGGTATAACTTAGACCTTTTCAAGACAAGATTGAATAGGTATTATTTAGGTGCGCATGCTCCATCGTCGACTTCATCATAACTTTCCATCAGGTGAGATGGAGGTCAAATGCTCACTTAGTCTTTAATAAAAAAAATCATATTAAATATATGGGAGCGTTTCACGTTAAAATTCGACACACACGTCTGGTACTCACTTGGTTTTAGGGTCTACTGAAAATCAGCGTCACAGCCTTTTCTCGGGGCGGTGACAATAGCTGCGTGGGATTCTTTTACATACGCCACAGCAGCACACATGACATTCACTCTAATTGTTTTAATGTAAAATATTTAATGTTTGCTTTGTTGTTGATTATGATTTTATTTTTATTTCATGTTTTTGTTTTGTTATTTTATTTCAATATTTTGTCATAATTTTGCTTCATCTTTCCTTTATCTTTCTTACTGGGTATTTTTATATTGTGGCGTAGTAATAAATGATTTCTAAATTTTGAATATTTCTAATTAATAAGTTATTGATGTCATTTTAATCATTAGGAGACGTAATTGCGATATCAGTTTAAAGGTTTTTGATATCTATTATATTTACGCCTGGACACACTTAACCATTACAACTTGTATTATCACACTATTGTATGTCAATCATTCAAGTTATCACTCCTAGCAGCAAATTTGTGCTGCTAGGAGTTTTAATTGGGGACCAGTTGTTATATATATGACGCTAGACTCGAGCATTAACTCTGAGTCTGGGTCTGAGTCTCTGTTTTCATGAATAGAGTTTTGTGAATTGGAGTCGACTCCAAAAATGTGGACTCCCGGACTCGAGTTTTTTACAACACTAGAGTAAGTACTTGGGAGGCAAATGCTCAGTCGGCTTTTCCTCGGTTAGCAGCCTTGCGAGGCTACTCGCTAAGTAAGCGACTATCGGCTATGCCTAATTATAAAAATACTATGATACATATTACTTAAATAAACAGGAATCGCATCCGCTACTAGGTGCTTAGTGGAAAATGCAAGCAACGAAAGGGTTTAACACCACAAACCGCCACGCTCTGGTCCAAAGCGGATTGAGTACTTCACAAGTTTCCTAGGAGCTGTGAACCTTTTCAAGGTGCAGGTTTCATCACGGTGTTTTCCCACATTGTTACCGAGTGACATCGCTACAAACTTTAACAAACGTTCACAAGGACTCCAACCGCCGCCCTCTCATTTGAGAAACAACCATTCTCCCATTGAGCTACTACCGCTAGTACAATTATTTGAACTTGACATACATATGCCATTATATGACTTACTTATTAACAATTTTTCAGAGTCCAGACGACGACAAAATATCTCTTAAAAGTGCAGGTGGTGCAAATGGTGCAGCTGGTTCAAGTAGAGTGTATTATCCTAACAGCGAAGAAGACTGCGCCGCTTGTGGCTGCTACTACCCTTATTATCCCCATGATGTGTGTCGAACCATAGAAAAGTGTACGAAAGCCTGCGAAGCAGTTTACGACATATTGTGCATAGATCCTCAAATTCAGCAAGCTATTAGGTGTTGGTTCTCTAGAACATGTCAAACCAATTGTTATACCACATTTGCGTATACAACTAAGGCCAAAAGTCTCACCGCAAAAGCTAAAAAACTTGCCTTTAACAATAACAACAACAACAACAATAATAATGGTTGGGGTGGTAATAACAATAATAATAACAACAATAACAATGGTGGGGGTGGCAATAACAATAATAATAACAATAATAACAATGGTTGGGGTGGTAATAACAACAACAATAACAACAATAATAATGGTGGTGGTGGTGGTGGTGGTGGCGGTGGTGGTGTTGTGTGCTTTCTATTTATTTGTGGGTGATTCTTTGAGATTACATTTACTGAGTGATTCCTCTATATAGCGCTAAATAATTTTAATTATGCAGTAATAAATAATAATCCCCCGAAACACAAACATATTTGCAGTAAAACATATATCTTAACATTCGACCTGAAACTGTTTAACATTCTAAATAAAATAAAAAATTTTACTTCTTTTATACAGTATTACAATATCTTCCGAACTTTTACTATAATAATAAGCTTGTGTTACGCACCACCACCGTTCACATAGAGATGCTGCATTTGTTTGATTTCGGTTCACAAGTGTGGTTCAAACCAGCCAACAAGCTGAGAAAAATAAAGATAATAATAATAAATAGACTTTTGTCGACACCCATTAAGGTGCACTAAGAAATTCTCACAATAATTATAATAATTAATAATAAAAATAATAATAATTCGTTTATTTGCTTAAAACATGGTATAACAAAGATGTCATAAGAGACGGTGCCAGTACAAACATGTTTCGCATATATTAAATAGTATGGAAATGTTTAGTTACGAGTACAATGTCAATCAGACTACCACAACACAATAATAAGAAAAAAATTCGCAAACTTGTCAAGTTACAAATTAATTTGGTCAAGATAAAATCTTATATCTCATTTCCTGTCAAATATTTCGTTTAGGTCATAAAAATATTTTTATTTAACTACTTGTACAGCTTTGTTTTAAATAAACTTAAGTGTAATAGTTTAATCCCAAGTGGTATTTTATTATATATGTCAACACACTTTTTAAGCAACTTTTACTGTATTAAGCAGTCATAAGTATAGTGTCAAGTACAAGTGTATTCGGTTTGTGCAGACTCTAGTATTCACATCACATGCTTTCTTAAACAAATATGTGTGTTTTTGTACAAAGAAACAAATTCCATATATATATATATATATATATATAGATGGTAGTGGCGACAGCCCAAGACTCTGGAGCAAGGGTCTGCACGTTGTTTTGAATGAAAGAGTTCGTCCAGGGTAGTACTGCCACCTTACCTATTTCTGCTGCCAAGCAGTAATGTCAGCTTTACTGTGATCCAGTTTGGAAGGGTACAGTTACAAGGGTGAAATTACAGGCACATGTGACTTATAAACTTATATCCCAGGGTGACGGGCGCAGTGGTAGTGCCCCTCAGATCTTTGCAATTTGAAGCTCTGAGGGGCACTGCAACTGTTATGGACAGGCGTGTAGCTTACCATCAGGCACACGACTTGTTCGTACCGTCGCTTGACGTTATAAAAAAAATGTTTCATCCTAATTGAGTTTAGTTTATACTCGACACACACATCCGGTACTCACTCGGTTTTAGACTCCACTGAAAATCAGCGTCACAGCCTTTTCCCGGCGGTGACATTAGCTGAGTCCTTTTATATACGCCACAGCCACACACATGACATCTACTTAGTACACAATAGTGTTGACTATCTTTATGGACATTTCATTACCTTTTACTAAGATTTTATTTTTAATTCATGTTATTTAATTTTTTTGCTCTAATGCATTTCTTTCGTGCCATAAAAGCTCTGTTTCGATCTATACTATTACCCTATGCATAAAGTCAAAAATATCACCTTTTTTAAGACATATACAAACTTATTGATTCTCGAACATTCTCGACGTGAATTTTCCAGTTTAGTTCTTGATCTCCGATTACTCCAAGAAATTTTGTGTGGCATACTTCCTGAATTACATCGATGTTTAAATTGCAGTTATATTTAGTATGTCTCGATTTATTAAATTGTATATAGTTTGATTTGCTTAAGTTAATATTCAGATTATTTGAATGTAGCCAATTGAGTATTTCAACAATTGTATTGTTCATGTCTAGTTCATGGTCTCTTATTGTTGTTATCTTTCTACTAGAAGTTACGATAATTGATATGTCGTCAGCAAATAATAATAGGGGTTAAAGTATGAAATTGCCGATTTGTACTGA